AATCGAAACATTTCCATCTAGCAGTGTTGATGTGTGTGTGTATACACATATATATGTATATGTGTATACACACACACACTCCTAATTCTCAAAAATATCACCACCACCCAAAATTTGCCTTGACTTCCGGTGTCACTAAAAACACTGTAAGGCTTGAAGAAAGCGACCAAATTTCCCTCCCCAGCTGCGAAGGCCGGGAGCTCAAGGTGTCCAAGATTGGTGAGCTGTAGGGCTGTGCTGGTTCTCTTGCCTGGCACCAGTCACTGGTGGTGTCAAGAACTCGCACGTTTCCCCTTTTAAGGGAGGATAATGAACTCTCCTTGGTCCCTAATTTGTACAGATAACATCTTTAGTCAGTTCTGAAATAGGGGTGGGTCATGAACCCTGTGAGGTCAGGGCTCCAACCTCCTCCTGGGTCTCTCAGAAAACCAGGAGAGGGCAACGACGTCTCAGAATCCCTGGGGTCCCCAGAAGAAAAGACCTCTGATTGGAGGGTGTGTATGCCCCCCAGTGTTCAATCCAACCCGGGTCCCCTTAGGGGCTTCTAGAGGAGGACGCTTAGCCTTCTCCGAGGCTGGCAAGGCGTAGAGGCGCGGGCCGACCTTAGGCAGAGATTCTTGTGCCCTCCCGGGTCCAAGCAGCTGGTCAAACCCAGGCCAGGGCCGCCCCGACGGTCCCCGCACGGTGCCCACGCGGCCAGTAGGTGTCGCTGTCCCCTTGCTGGCCGGAGCCAGGAGCCCCGCGCTGGCCCCCAGCGCCACTCAGCCTTGGGTTTCCTGAGGGTTCACAAACCCGCCGGAGCTCCCAGGAAAGGGCCGCTGGTTCCCTCGCTCACCTGGCCTCTATTGCAGAAACAAAGGTGGACCTATGGGAACATTCTCTCTCGGGGAGGGAAAAAAAAAAAAAAAAAAAAGGAGTTCTGTTGGGCCCCCGAAACTCCGGGCCCCGACGGAAGTGGCCCAAAGCAGGTTCTTTTGCAGTCACCAACCTCCCTCCTTTCTCACGTGCTGTTGGCAGAAACCCGGTACTGGGAGTATCCTGGCAAAATCCCCAGTCGGGGCGGTCAACCCCGGCTTCACACTGGCCTTAAAAACATCTAAGAGGTTGAAATACCAGCTTCGTAAGAGCTAGACACAGAACAAGTGGATTGGTTTCCATTTCTAGCTTCAAAAAAAAAAAAAAAAAAAAGAAGAAGAAGAAGGAAAAAAATAATAAAATGAAAGAATGAAACCTGGGCCTGGTAACATGCGTGAGCTACATACCATTTTATACACGGGTCTGCCCGCAGAAATGCCGGTAACCACTATGGTCCCTCATCCCCCCGCCCAAGGTTGTCCTCCCCGAAAACTCGGCTACCAAGTATTATTCCCATTCGAAAACCTAGCAGTGTGCGCGCCTTTGAAATCTGTGTTGAAATTCTAGGTATTGATAATTCCGCGCCCTTCTTTGGCGTCCTGCGGCTCCCAGCCTTCAGCCCCAGTGTGCCGCGTAAGAATTGTTAATCAGAAGCGTTCTTTTTGTGTGTTATGTCTCGAAAGGAGGGCGTCTGGCTTATGAGTACAGAGAGGGACATTTGCATTGGGTACATCCTATAGGTGACTGGAGGTTTTATTATGATTCTGATTGTTCTGTACAGGGAAGTCACTGCTTGATTTGAAGATAGGGAAGGGTGGGCCACATTGACTACTCGAAATTCAGAACCTTGAGTTGTTGAGTTAGTATCCAAAATGGAAACGGCTATGCATTTAGATTAACGTTTATAATCATATCTTCAGTTAAGATGTGCGGACAATTTGGAGGAATTTTTTTTAATCCACACTATATTTTGGTCAAAGTAATCAATTCGTGAAGAAAAATATCGCAATCAAATATCAAAGACGATGGTAGAAAAATTTTCAGGTTAAGTCCAAAATCTTTTGGAACATATGTCGGTCCTACCTCGGGGGTGAGGTCTCCCTGTCTCGGAGAACACAGCTGGACAAGAGGCTGAGTCTCCAAGAGAAGCCTTCGTTTTATTAAACGAGTAGCCAGTATCATCATTAGATGTCACTGCCCTTTGCTGTTTTTCATAAAACTGACTTTCTTTTAAATACTGTTACACAATTCAAAATAATTCTTTTAGAGACGACAAATTAATCATTTGGTGAGGTTGGGGACACGTGTTTAATTGGAGGTCGTGAAGTTCAGTGAGGTGGTATTTTTAGCTTGAAAAGTCCAAATTCAGAATCTTGGATCTCTCTTCCTCTCTTATCATTTCCCCACTCTCTTTCCATTTTACTCTTTCACTCAACCCATTGGGCTCCTTTGCCCTTTTCTCCCCTTTTTCTCACTGTCTCTCCCTCTCATCCCCCACCCCACGCCTTTTTCCCCCCTATCCTTTCTCTTCTCCTTTTCACTCCCCCCCTGCTGCCCCTCCTTTTATTTCTGTCTTTCTCCCCCCCCCATTATTGTTTGATCCTATCAGTCAAGTTAATATAAAAGTAGCAAGTGGGAGGCCCAACACCCTTTCTCGCGTGCGCCCAGGGCACTTAGGGGAGGTGTCGACCGCAGCCAGGTTACCGCGGGAGTGGTGGCCCTTAGTGCAGGTCATGCTGCTTGCGGAGGAGTTGGGGTCTGCGCCGGGTTGTGGGGCTTATTCAAATGCCGCCCGCTGCTGCTGTGATTCGCAGGGACTCAGCCTCCATATGGTAATGCGGGGCGGGGGGGGG